CACGGTCCCGCAGATCGCGGTGCAGGGCTCGGAGAGCGACGAGCAGGAGCCGGCGGTGGCCGAGTGGGAATGCCAGGGCTCCTACCCCATCAGCAGCTCTGAGCAGCCCAACAGCAGCATCTCCTTGCCCTGGTGGGATGGGTGCGAGCACCGGGACCGTGGCTCCCAGCAGCAGCGGAACTGCGGGCAGGGATCACCCGGCCACTGGCAAGTGGCAGCACAGGGCCAGGAGCCGCCGGGTGCTCATCTCCCGGCTCCCCGGGGCATGTGGAGCGGGGCCAAGCACCCCTGAGCCCCACACTGGCACCAGGGATGGTTCAGGCTCCCTGTGGCATCCCAGTGCCTCCCCAGCACCCCGTCCTGTGCGGCAAATCCATGAGAGAAACGTCCCCGGAGCCGCTCTGGACCCTGGCCGGGCCAGCTGTGCCCCGGCACTTTGCCCCCCTGGAAGGCTTTTTGTACTCCCTGAAAGATGCTCATATTTTTATAGAGACGCAGGAGCTTTTCCGGCAGAGGCGTTTCCCCAGCTGGGCCCCAACCTCTGTGTACAGAAAGGACTTGATGCAAATATTCCTTAATTAATTTATTACTTTTTATAAGCTAAACGGGCAGTGCAGGACTGTCGCAGGGGCCAACCCAGCTCTGGGAGTCCCAGCCTTTCCCGTGCGTCTCCCAGCTCCCAGCCCACTGTTTTCTAACCCACTTGCTTTTCCCTACTTTTTAACTTCAATTCTAGCTGGAAACTCCCCGGATCTCCTAAGAACCCCATAATTCTAATATTTAAAATTAAAAGAAAACCCCAAATCCACAGCAACATCCCCCAAATGCTGGGATGCAGAGATGGGGGATATTCTTTGCATATGGATCATCATATGATGAGCATACGGATCATTTTATAAGCTTATAGGAGATATAAAAAGGGTTTAATTATTTTATTTGGAGATTTTACAGCCACCTGGCTCCATTGGCCCTTCCAGGTGGGGAAGACAGACGTTCCCCAGATGGGAATATTAATGGGATTTTTAGGGTCAGTTTTTGCTCTTTCCATTCCTCTCACACAAAATCCCATGGTGTTGGTTGGTCAGTGCACAGATACCTACAAAATCCCAATTTATCTTTTTTTTTTTTTTTTTTTTTTTTTTTTTAAGTCTCTCCAACCCAGTGAGCACCTGTGCTGCTTCACTTGTAATTTGGGAATTTCATCCCTTTCTTTCCCCCTCCGTTGCTCTTTATCCAACAAACGACAGCTCGACCCAGCATTTCCTCCCCATTTCTACCGTTTTCTGGGATATAAATGTTTCCATTTGTTGATGCATGTTCCGGTTTTCCCCCTGCCCGCCGTGGTTTGGTGCCGTGGTGCTCCGAGCACCGTGACGGTGACAGGGGGGACATCCCTAGTTTGCCGACCCCGCTGCCACCAGGCATCACCGTGCCCCCGGTGGATTTTTGGGCTGCGTGTTGGATTCTTTTGTGCACGTGTGGTTTGTGCCAGGCTCCGTATCCCGCTTCTCCCGTTCAACTGGTGCTGTTAAACCCCCCAAAAACGAGCAACCAGAGCTGCTCCGTGTTTCCTTTGCTTCTCCCTCCTCTCTCTGTATTAAGGTCTCGGAAAGGCAGCGGGGTTTTGGGGAGACACCGGGCACCCCCTGCCCACTGGCACGGCGGGATGGGGGGGATTGGCTGCGCCCCAGTGGCGTGGATAGGGTGGGAAGAAGATTTTTTTAATGGGAAATGTCTTAAAAGCCAAGGGGACTGTGTCTTCCTGCTCAGTGCCCGGCTCTGTTCGTACCTTCGGGAAGTTTTATGTTGGATTAAAATCGTTCCTTGCGCTGAGTGTGGTGTCCAGTGGCACTGGAGCGTGCAGGGCAGTGAGTGCCCGCTCTGGGGGCGATGGCAAGGGGTGAAAGGGGTCCCAGCACAGGTGGGAGGGGACGGGAGGTGGCCCTGCAGTGGCACCGGCGTGGCTGGCACCCAGCCTGGCTCTGGCACCGGGTCCCGGCTGTGGGTGCTCGGTGCGGTGCCGGTGCCCGGAGCCTGGTCCCACATCCCTGGCGCGGTGCCAGCACCGTGACCTGTGCCCAGGGCAGAGCCCCGTGCTCGGTGCCATGCCCCACTCCCAGGTGTGCCCCATTCCCAAATCTGTGCCCCATGCTCTGTCCTCGGTGCAGTCCCGGTGCAGTGCCCCATGTCCGGTGCTGTGCCCAGTGTCCAGTGCCCGCTGCCCAGTGCAGTGCCCGGTGCTGTGCCCTGTTCCGGTGCAATCCTGGTGTCCAGTGCCTGATGCAATCCCGGTGCAATTCCCGGTGCTGTGCCCCGTTCCCACTTCAATCCCGGTTCAATTCCGGTTCAATTCCGGTTCAATCCTGGTTCTATCCCGGTTCTATCCCGGTTCTATCCCGGTTCTATCCCAGTTCAATCCCGGTTCAATCCCGGTTCTATCCCCGTTCTATCCCAGTTCAATCCCGGTTCTATCCCAGTTCAATCCCGGTTCTATCCCGGTTCAATCCCGGTTCTATCCCGATGCCCGATGCTTCTCTCGCCACCAGGGGGCGCCGCCGCGCTCTCCCTTCGGACTCCCTCGGCTTCTTCCGGAGCGGCTCGCACGAGGGGCGGGGCCCCGATGGCGGTCGGGCCGAGAAAGGGGCGGTGCCGGAGTCTTCGGGCGGCTCCGTGCTCTGTCGTTTGCTGTCGGTTATTTCCGGGATAGATTCGGGCAGTTCCGTTCTCTCTC